ACGTCCATGGGGAGATGAGATCTATTTCACTAATAAAATAGAAAAGTGTACAGCCGCTCTTTCTCACTCCCTCCCTCTCTTTTTAGAGACATGTTTCGCCCTAAACATATATAGCGAAACCCTACATGGCACAAATTACAAAATTGCCCACATAGCCTAAAATATTTAGCTTTTCCATATAACAAAATACAAGACATCAACCTCAACAATCTCCACCTTGACTTGGATTCTGTAAAACCACCTGTGAAAGAATATGAAATATAGATGTCTTCATCCCCGTACCTCCATAAGAGGTACACTCCCGCACTCATTGAGTGCGTCCCTCACCTTCAACAGCAAGTTATATTAATTGAGCCCAAACAGGACCCAAACTTCTCAATAGTGACTGGCTTGGTAAAACAATCTGCAGGATTGCTATTCGTGTGAATCTTCGTCAAGTGCATTCTACCATCTGACACAAGCTCCCTGATTTTGTGAAACTTCACATCTATATGCTTTGTTCTTGCATGAAACACTTGATTCTTGGCGAGATATATGGTACTCTGACTGTCACAATGTAACACCGCACCTCCTTGCTCTAAACCCAACTCACGAACCAACCCAGTCAACCAGAGCCCTTCCGTAGCAGCTTCTATAACTGCCATGTACTCTGCCTCTATAGTAGACAATGCAATTATGGACTGAAGCATCGCCCTCCATGAGATAGGTCCACCAGCTAATGTGAAGACATATTCTGTAGTAGACCTCCTTCTGTCTAGGTCACCAGCAAAGTCTGAATCAACATATCCCGCTAGCTCCTTCAAACCTCCATCGCGACTGAACATAATACCCAAGTCTGCAGTCCTGCTCAGATATCTAAAGATCCACTTGACTGCATTCCAATGCTCCTTCCCTGGATTACTCATGTATCTGCTAACAACACTGACTGCATGAGATAAATCTGGCCTGCTACACACCATAGCATACATAAGACTCCCAACTACGCTAGCATAGGGAACTCGAGTCATCTCCTCAATCTCCTCATGTTTTGTGGAGCATTGCTGTTCAGATAATCTGAAGTGGCTAGCTAATGGTGTCCTTACTGGTTTAGCCTTATTCATGTTGAAACGCTCAAGAACCTTTTCAACATACCTCTTTTGAGATATCCAGAGTTTACCTGCACTTCTATCTCTATGAATTTCCATACCAAGGATCCTCTTAGCAGCACCAAGATCCTTCATCTCAAACTCATTATTCAACAAGGACTTTAAAGAGATAATATCATGCATATCCTTAGCAGCAATAAGCATGTCATCAACATAAAGCATCAAAAGAATAATCGAATTATCATCTGACACTTTAAAATAAACACAGCAATCATACTCACTTCTCGAATAGCCAATTTGCACCATAAAAGAGTCAAAACGCTTGTACCACTATCTTAGAGATTGCTTAAGGCCATAAAGTGATTTCTTAAGCAGACAAACGTGATTTTCCTTTCCTGGCACTTTGAACCCGTCAAGTTGCTCCATGAAAATCTGTTCCTCCAAGTTTCCATGAAGAAACGCCGTCTTCACATCAAGTTGCTCCAGCTCAAAATCAAACATTGCTACCAAGGCAAGTAGAATCCGAATGGAAGTGTGGTTTACTACTGGAGAAAATATTTCATTATAATCCACCCCTTCCTTCTGTGCATACCCTTTAGCTACAAGTCTAGCCTTGTACCTTACCTGCTCATTCTCAAACACTGCCTCTTTCTTGCGAAAGATCCATTTACACCCAATGATCTTTCGCCCTTTAGGTTTCTCCACAATCTTCCAAGTTCTATTTTTCTGTAAGGATTACATTTCTTCCATCATAGCTGACATCCATTTATCACTATCAGCATCAGATATCGCATCCTGATAGGAAGATGGATCGCCTGTACCTACTGTGAGGGCATAAGCAACCATATCCTCAAACCCGTATCTCACAGGTGCTTTGTGAGTACGTTTTCCTCTACCTTCTGCGATGGTGTAGGTATCTTCTACTGTCTCCTGTGATTCTGGTGAGTTACTGGATGATTCCCTTCCTCCCGCTATTTCTGGTTCACCTGACTCCACCTGCACAGTAGATCCTTCTTCACTTCTGCCATCTGCATGTGAACTGTTATTTGCCTTCACCATGACAGATTCATTAAAGATAACGTCCCTGCTAACCACGGTCTTCCGTGCATTTGGATCCCATAACTTGAATCCTTTCACACCTTTCTCATAGCCAAGAAAGATGCACTGCTTAGACTTTAAGTCTAACTTGGAACGATGTCCACTTTGTACATGAACATAGGCTGGACAACCAAATACCCTCGAACCAGAATAGTCAATCGGATTACCTGTCCATACCTCCTCAGGAACTCTGCATTCAATGGCTGTAGATGGAGACCTGTTAATGAGATAGTATGCCATATTAACTGCTTCTGCCCAGAAACTTTTACTCAGCCCTGCATTCAGCCTTATACTCCGAGCCCTTTCCAAAAGTGTCATATTCATCCTCTCAGCTACACCGTTTTGTTGTGGTGTATCTGATGTTGTGAAGTGACGTGTGATCCCTTCAGCTTTACATAGTTCCAGGAATGGTGTGTACCTGTATTCCCCTCCATTATCTGTTCTCAAGCACTTTAGCTTCTTTCCTGTCTGCCTTTCTACTTCAGCCTTCCACTCTTTGAATTTGGAGAAGACTTCGTTTTTCTGCTTCATGAAGTAGACCCAGACTTTCTTTGAGTAATCATCAATGAAGGTCACAAAATATTCGGCTCCACCTTTTGATTTGATCGATGCAAGACCCCATACATCGCTGTGTACATAATCAAGTACATCCTTGCTCATATGCTTTGCAGTTCTGAAACTAACCCTGCTCTGTTTCCCGAAAACGCAGTATTTGCAGAAGTTCAATTTGCAGCTTTTGACACCTTTTAACAGCTTCCTTTTATGAAGCTCCATCATACCCCTTTCACCCATATGCCCTAACCGCATATACCACAGATAAGTGTCATCTGTATCAGACACTGCAGCTGTAGTCACGGATGCTCCATCTGTTACTGTACTCCCTATGAGCCTGTATAAACTTCCAATCAACTCTCCTTTCATGACAACCATAGCTCCCTTGATGACTTTGAGAACTCCACCTGCTGCTGCGTACTTGTAGCCATTCACATCAAGCGCACCCAAAGATATCAAATTTTTCTTTAGATCTGGAACGTGCCTTACATCTACTAAAGTTCTTACTATACCATCAAACATTCTGATTTTAATAGTCCATATTCCAATGGTTTTGCAAACCACATCATTCCCCATTAGAACAGATCCGCCACTGTATAACCGGTATGAATCAAACCAATCCCTATTCGGGCACATGTGATAAGAGCATCCAGAGTCTAAAATCCATGAATCAGCGAACTGATTCTTACCTGATGATATAGAAAGAAGATCTCCATCATCACCGTCTGAGCTATCAGCCACACTTGCTTGATTAGAAGTTTTCTCGCGCTTCTTTAAGTCTTCCTTTCTCCTATAACAGTCTCTTTTCAGATGGCATTCCTTCTTGCAATAATAACAAGAGAGTTTTGTTTTACCCCCTCTTGATTTCGATTGACCCTTATTCCTGGATCCCCGCTGAATTGTTCTTCCCCGTTCCTGCTCCTTGACTTTTCCGATGAGACCCTCACCCTATGCCGTAGCACTGTTAACCCTCTTTCTCGTATCATTAGATAATAAGGCAGCAGTGACCTCATTTGTCTCAAGCGTCTCCTTTCCATACAAGAGTGTCGTCACCAGATGATCATAAGATGCTGGTAGCAACGATAGCAGTAATAGGGCTTTGTCTTCATCTTCCATTGAAACCTCCAGACTTGCAAGTTTACTCAGAATCTGATTGAACGTGTTGATGTGTTCTAACATATCTGAGCCTTCCTCCATCTATAGAGAGTATAACTGTTTTTTCAGTTTGTTCGTTAGGGAGTTGGTCATATAGATGCTCTCAAGTTTCGACCACACCTGCGGAGCCGATTTGAGATCCACCACATACTGCAGAACCTCATCAGATAGGTTCAATCAAATGGCGCTTACCGCCCTTTCCTCCATCTCCGCCCAATCTTCATCACTCGTTTCTGGTTTCTTCCCTTTCCCCAGCAACACTTTGGACAGGCCCTGCTAAATCAGAAGATCCATCATTCTTCGTCACCAGAGAGTGAAGTTGTTCTTTCCATTAAACCTCTTGATGTCGTACTTGACACTTGAACCCTTTCCTGCCATCGTGATAGCTTGTCGAACCAAGCTCCGATACCAATTGTCGAATATCTAAATTCGATCCTATCTACGATGCAAGAAAGTAATGGAAATTCGCACAACACAAGAATTTATGTGGTTCAGCAGGGGAGATGTTCCGCCTATCTATATCCACGGGGAGATGAGATCTGTTTCACTAATAACGTAGAAAAGTGTACAACCGCTCTTTCTCACTCCCTCCCTCTCTTTTTAGAAACCTGTTTCACCCTAAACATATATAGCGAAACCCTACATGGCACAAATTACAAAATTACCCACATAGCCTAAAATATTTAGCTTTTCCATATAACAGAATACAAGACATCAAACCTCAACAGTCCATGCATGGTTTACACACAACTTCATTAATCTTACTTTCCAACCCTCTATCTATGATTAAGTTACCGAGTAATTTTGTTTTTAAGTTGATTTTCGACATTCATTTGTTTTTTCTTTAAAGTCTTGTCTCCTACTAAAAAGTTTAACTTCTCTTATTTATTACCGGATTTTGTTTATTTTTCTTACCATCACTTTATCGTATGAAACTATTACCCATCTTTATTTGGTGACTTACCACTTTTATTTCCGATTATGTAATTCATGTTTGACACCTGAATTTTTGTTAGCATAGAATTGATGAGTGAATAGAAATAACAACCATTCGACCAAAAAAAATAAAAATAAAAATAAAAACCATAGAAAAAGTTTCGATCTCATTCAGCGGTTCTTAAAAGACCAAGCCGAGCCCATTCCATTCACCGGAGATGTATCTCTCTCGGCAGTCGATTCGCCGGAGCTATTGCCTCTTCCTTTCCGCTCCATCACCATCAATTCGATCGTCCACCATCTCCGATCAGTTACGGCCGCCGTCAAATCTCCCTCGCTGGCCACCACAGCCTCTGCCGTAACGGAGCGGAGCATCGACGCTCATCACCAGCAATCGAACTTCTCTCGTGTCTCTTTCTCTCTCTCGTCTGAACGCATTTGGAGATTTTCCTTTTAAGCTCGCGATTTCACGCTCCGCAGGAGAATTCACAACGACAACGACAACGACAACGACAACACACTCTCTGAAGCTTGGTGCGCGCGTGAGAGCCAGAGGAACCGAGCGAAGCAAGAACGCACGCACCGACCGAGCGAATCATACGATTGTTCTGTATTGCCTTTTGCCGAAAGCTACAAATTGTTATCTCAGTTGTCTATTATTTGCTCTCAGATTCGCCGATTCCTCTCTAGCAATTTTTAGCTGGGTTTCTCATGTTATATTCCCTCGCCAGTTGATAGGAATTCCCGTTTGGATAACTCCTCATCGTTCATGCTCACCACCTGTTCAACGTTTTGCCTCAGAGATGACGATGATGAATTAATCGATCAATTTGAGATTGCGTAGGAGTGATTTGTATGTTATTGTTCAATGTACTGATCATATATTGCGAATTGATGCTTCATCTGATGGCGAAGAGTACTCAATCCCTTGGTGTTTCCGTCTACTTTGTTCTCTGTGAATTAAATACTACTTTGGGAGCGTGGCTGAATTGTCCTCTAAACTGAGAGCCTCTGGATTTATTTTCGAGCTTGAGGTGTTCAAAGCACATGTATCATAATCGTCAAGGTGTTAATGTAGAGAAATCCTCTGTAACCGTACATTGTTCATCTGTTGGAGTTGTAGTTTTTCTTTCGCATACTAACTGCTGCTCTGTTTTGGGCTCGGTTGAGACTCCACTTCACATGCGATGGACACGTTGGAGTATCGTTTATGTCATGCTTGTGATGTTCGTGCAAGTACATGGTGGTTTATCTCGGTTGTCGCCATTTATTTGCACAATATTCATCTCAGGATGTGCTCTTTGTTGGATTTGTACACCCACCGCATCGTAGGCTAATATGTCTAGTCTTACTCTACATGGCTCAAATTTACTGGATTCATTGTTGTTCTTGCTGTACATGTACAAAAATATGTCGATTTCTTGGCTATGAATGCTGTGTATGTTAATAACATGCTGTAGTCATGGTTGTAAGTGCTGTCTGTGACTTAAATTCGCTGGATTTATGTTCATGCCTACTGTCCATATCCATTCGTTGTTCAAACAACAATCGCCAATACTTGTCTATGTGTTTTCTTGGTCATATGAGTTGGAGTGAGGAATCCATGTTAATTTTCGAGGGAGATGATCGTGTTGTCATGCTTGAATTTACTGAAATTAAACATGTGCCCTGCTGTACAAGCATCGATGATCTTCGTTTGACTTCAATTTGTTCTCATCTTGAGCACGTGACCCCATATACATTTGCAGGAAGATATGTTTCAAGTCCATTACTTAATAAATAATCATGAATTTTGGCCTTTAATGTTCTGATTTTATTCTAGATTTTGCTGACTTCGCTGTTTCAATCATGAGATGTGCTAGTTTAATTCTCGTTTCAGTGTGGTTTTGATTACCCATGAGAAGTTGACAATGTATACTGGATTTGCTAGTTATTGGAACATGTTTGGGTATTATTGGAGTGGGTAATTTGTATATCTTGCGAGCTTGATGAGTCGGACGCTGCAGTGAATTCTCTTAGGCATGAATTTGAACGATTTTTATTGCCATTTGTTGATTGGTTTGATGGTTCTTCGGTGCATGTAAGTGTGTGGTTCATCTTTAGCCACCTTGATACATTGGGATGCCATTTATGTGGGCGGAGTACTGACTATACTTGCTGGACGTTATTGTGGGGAGTGGACTGACCGTGATTTTGATAATATTTCTAGCTCGATTTAGTGGTTCATTAGGTACATACATAGGCATATAGCTCACTTCTTGTCATTTTGATATAATGAAATGTAGTTTTCCTTCAATAAACGGGCAAGCTTGCATGCGGGCCTTAAGCTTAGTATAGATTCAAATGGTGCCTCAAAACATTAATTAACTCAATCATGGAGAACACGGATAGCTACATACTTCCACAGGGCTCAGCATATAGACCTGTCAGAAGGTGGTCCCAGTCGGGTTTGGCGGGTCGAAAATGGGTCCGATCTAAATAGATCAATTTAATTGAATTGACCTATTTTTACGTAATATAGTTTAACAATCCATACTCGACCCAATCTGAACTCAACATATACCTAACCCGACTGATGTTCTTCTACTTCTTCATCATCTCGCATCTCTCTTCATCTTTGTCTCTTCTTCACCACTAATGTCCCCCGCAAAACTCTCTCCTCCCCACCACCAATGTCAAGACTTGTCAAATAGTTTGGTCGAATTGGGTTTGAGTGGTCGGGTGTGGATTGAGTGGGTCAAAAAAAAGGGTCCAACCAAAATTAATCCATATTGCCCCATTTTGTGTAATACAACCTTAGCAACACATACCCATTTCAACTAGGACTCAATCCATGCCCAACCCGACCCAACCCATGTTCTTCTACTTCTTCATCATCTTGCATAGTTCTTCATCTTTGTTTCTTCATTACCACCAAAGCCCCAAACAAAACTCTTTCCTCCCCACCACTGATGTCTGGACCTGTTAAATGGGTGGGTTGGGTCGGGCTTGAGTGGGTAAAAAATGGATCTGATCTATATTAGCCCATTTATGTAATATAATTTTGGTGACTCATATCCGACCGGACTTAAACTCAATCCATACTCACCCCAACCCATGTTCTTCTTCTACTTCATCATCTCGTGTTGCTCTTCATCTTAGTCTCTTCTTCCCCACCAAAGCACCCACAAAACTCTTTCCTCCCCATCACCAATGTCCACTATCACCGCCCTCCTCCTTCTCTCACTCTTCACCTCCAACCTCGCCCGGTCCAATCGCGCTTCTGACCAAGCTACACTTTTCTACCTTCGCTCCACTGTTGGTGGTCTCCTCCTCCTCTGGAGCTTCACTGACTCACCTTGCTCCTGGGTGACAATTTTTTTTTTCTGAAGATCGTATGAATTTTAATTTCGTCCGTCTAATTGATTAGGGTGAGCGGTTTCAGGTTCCTCACAGGTTCCACCTGGAATCTGGAACCTACCCTTGGGTACAGGTTCCTCATTTTTTGGAACCTAGAACCTATCCGTTGGAACCTGAAATCTGGAACCTACCCTGTTACAGGTTCCAGGGTCGGTTCCAGGTTCCAACAGGTTCTTTTTTATTTATTTTATTTTTAGTTAATCAAAAAGAAAATGAACATTCATAAAAAAGAATACAAAAGACTAGTTATTGAAAGTCACATTTTTCTTAAAAAAAAGGGTATAGAATGATAAATAGCTATTGTTGGGATGCAATACATATAACTTTAAATTCCAAAGTAAGATGCCACATTTTTCTCAACAAAAAGTACAAAACATACTCCCCTCCAAGCTCCTCCAAAGTAGAAAAGTTTTTGTTTTTGGTCATCAAAGTAAGTTGCTCCTCCAAGCTCCTCCACCACTTGCAATACTGAAAGGAAACAGTAAAGATGAAGCTAGAAAAGTTAATTTACATGGAATAAGCACATGACCAGGGCTGGTGATCCTCCAATTATGCTTATAAGGATTTCAAGCTTAAAGGATGAGCCAACTGCTCCAAGAACCTCCAACTCCGTATGCCGAAGTAATGATATAAAACTAGAGCAGCCTCGCTTTCACTCCAAATCACCTTCCTCTGAATGGAACTTTCCCAATGAAATGACTCAAAGACACATGCTCTAATATATTCCTTTTAAACTCCCGCTACACTGTGAATACATCCAAAGCAAATGTATTCCTATACTTGAGTTTTTCATAGGTAACTTCATATAAATTTTACTGCGAATTTCATAGCAATTAGAAAACAGGATTCGTGCCATACAGAAAAATATTTCCAAAGAAAATCCTTTGAACAAATTTTTTTGAACCATTTACATTGAGGAGGAAGCATCATGCATGAATCCTGTTTTCTACTTGATAGGTTCCGAATAGGACGAATATAGTATCACTATGAAATCCGCACACCCTTATTAATACAAAGTAACTAAATAAGAATGAACAAAAAAGCAAAAGATAGAACAAAAATCTTGACTAATGACATCGATGAGCCTCACATTTCTAGCAATCAAGTTGCCGCTGTCAAATTCAAAAGGATAACAGTTGTTTTTGGTTTTGTATTTTCTCTTGTTTTTAGTCCAAGTGGTCCATCACCATTGATTTTCTTGTTTTGTCCTTCTGCCAAAGCCAAATTACATTGAGATGATGATTAAAGCAAAGTGCTGATGTTACCTAGAGCGACTTTTATAGTTTGAATAGCTTTCTCAAATTGAAAACTGGCTGTCAAATCTTTTCAAACTAGGCACCTTTCTTTCAAAAACGGCTCCAAGCCCTACTTCATTTCAATAGCATTCACATCTGATCTCATCTTTCTCCCATACATGCTGCAAAAGCACAAAAGCAAAAGACCAAAAGCTTCTTCGGTATCCCTTCCAGCATTAAATTTCTTCCTTCTTTAAACAACCACGAGGTCAAAGGTGAAGGGACGTATCGAGAACCGAAACAGAACGATCACGCAGAAAATCAGAGAAAAATAGACAATGCACAAATTTACCCAGGTTCACCCTCGATTAGGGCTACGTCCTGCAAAGAGATTTCACTATGTTTTCGGTTTACAGCCACTCAACTCGTTACAATGATAAGAAAAACGAGCAAAATATATATATGCCCCAAACGGGCCCAAAACCTAAACCTATATGAAATCTCTTAATCTCGCACTATACGGGCCAGCCCAAACCCTTTGAGGTTTAGGGGCGCACGAGCCCCGCCCGCTCAGGCGAGTGGGGCGGCCGTCCGTGAGCCGGGCGTGGAACCCCGTCGAGCGCGCCCCGAACCCCCCGCCCGTGGCCGGGCAGTGGGGGCACCCGTGTCGGCGCTGCCCAAACCCCCATTCCGCACGCATGGGTCACATGTCGTCGGACAACACTTCAGTTTCCCTAAGCTCACGTGGGCGTACCCGGTGTGAGAAACAAGGGTCCCCGAAGTATTCGCCATCTCCAACAAAAGGCACGCACAAATAATTGGCAGAATCACAAATAACACAACCTTAGCTGCTCCTTCAAAGACAACCAAAGTATTAAGACAATCCATATCAATTTATTGGTAAAATAAAATAAGTATTAGAAAGTCTACCACATATATTCATTCCGCTTCAACTGGTAAACTCTATTTACCGACGATAATCTCCTCATTCAAACAATCCATATCTAAAAAAAAGAAAGATTAAATAAAATATTCACTTATTAGATATATAAAAGGAATTACAATATATAAAGATATAAACATTACTTACCCATCTCAAATTTTTCTGCATTTTCGATGCATTCTTCAACATTAATCGGCACACGAACGGCTCTCGACCAATCTTGAGTGCAAATCAAAGCTTTCACTACTTTGGGAGTCAAAGAACTTCGAAAGCCGTCAAGCACACGACCCGATGTATTAAAAGTCGACTCCGAAGCAACAGTAGTTACGAGAATAGACAAAACATCTCGAGCCATCAAAGATAGGATTTTATATTTTGAGCCACTAGTCTTCCACCACATCAAAAGGTCAAGATCAAGAATATTTTCATTTTTTTCTTCAAGATATTGATCAAGCTCAGATTTGTTGTCATTGCACACTTGTTGGTTCGAGTACATAAAGGTTCTTCGCCAAGCTTGGGCGTCACTCTTCTTGATCTTGTTACCTTCACTACCACCGGCAT